GATCCGGCATGTGTTCCGCGCGACTGGGGACCTTGGTAGTGTCTCAGGGCTACCATTTTTTATGTATTTACTGTGATGTAATTTTGTCCATAGCTTCTTAAATACGTTGTCTTGTGTATGCCTTGTAAAAGCCACATTTTATAACTGAGAAAATAAGCCAAGGGCCAATAGAGAGTGCTCCATGGTTGCATTTCTAGTAAATGACAAAACTGAGATTTCACCAGATCTAGAATGTGCTTGACTAAATCCCATCTTGTTTCTAATATTATTTTTGGTTTCACAGTAATATAAGAAAGATTTTAGATTCAAAGAAAAAACCCCAACTGCCTTAGGTAGCCACAAAAAAGAATGGAAAAGTGTAGTTTTCAAATCCATGAAAGGAGTAAGTTGAATTTTTACTTATAGGTAGGGATGGGGAAAAAAGCATAGAGAGAACAGAGTTAACAATACAAAACAAGGAGGTAAAAAATCCAGATATATGTATACAATAATAATAAGTCTTTAAAGAACAAATTCGTCAAGTTAAAATTGATGGAACAGTTGGGATAGGTTGTTGATAAGCAATACATTTAAACATACATACAGGAATAGGAAAGTAAAAGTATAGAAAACTGTATCTAGGCAAATACATTAAGTCCCCATTTTACGAAAAAGTTCCATTCTGGAAGAATGTTCGTTCATAAGTCAAATTCATTCATAAGTCAAATTCATTCATAAGTCAAACAGAGTGAGTCTTAAGTAAAAGATGCACCCTGTTCACCCTTCAAGTAGACTTTTAGTTTTTTTTGCATAAGCATTAAGCTGAGTGGGACTCAATGCTGATGCTGATGCTGCATCTACACACTGAGAAGTTTTTCCATCTCTATCACTTTACCACACATTTTGGATATTATTATTGACTTTATTGGCACAACAAACTTTATATACTCAATGATCTTGTCCTTGTTCCTTTGAATTGTGCCAGTGGTTGAATGATTCATGTAAGAACAAGTGACATCTGCCATCTTTTCACCTTGGTCCAGTCTCTCAATTATTTTCATTTTGTTTCCATTGTTATTGCTTTGCACTTCCTAGCAGTGTACTCCACATCACCACTGCTTTTCCTTTTGCTCTGGACATCCTGGGCTCTGATTGAGCACCACACTACTGTATACTATCACACTGTACAGTAACCACTCAGCACCACAGCTGTAACAATGTCCAGCAGACGTGTGAGCTACTTCTGCAGTTTGTTCACATCTATGAATATTCGTAATGCAAGGTCCATTACAAACAACTCGAATGTTTGTAAGTCAGGAACTAAAAGACAAAGCAGAATTTATGGCACAGAAAGTAAACTTTACAGGAGAGAGCATTACAAGGAATAGAGATAAGATATATATACAATTCTATTTTTGTATGCTGACCATAGTCCCAAAATATTTATAAAACTGCTAGAAGAAATGGACAAATCTGTCCTCTTAATGGAAAATTTTAATAGAATTTTCATTTCATCAAGTGGATGCATACAAAGTGAGTCAAGATCTAGAAAAATTGAACAATGCTGTTTACCAGGCTTGATCTAATTAATAAGTGTGCACTCAACAATTATAGTACATGGTACATTTTTTTAGGCACACATGGAGTATTGTAGAAATTGATCATGTCCCAGCCCATAAAGTAGGTCTTAGCAAACTATAATGAATTGATACCACACAGAACTCTGCTGTGTGACTACTATTACTAGACATGAATAATAAAAAGAAATAGTCCTCACATACACTTCTGAACAATTTATAGGTTCAAGAAGAAATCATGATAGAACTTAGAAAACTCTTGGAACTGAATAATAATGAAAAAATCTGGACATGTACTAGAGTAATCCTGGGGAGAGAAGGTTCATGTTAGAGTGGATAGAAAGGTTAAAATCAGTAAATGAAGTATTTAAGAAACTAAGATAGTATCAGCAGAATAAACACAAAGAAAATAAAGATTAGAGAAAAATAATGAAATAAAGTGACACATTCGAATCCAACATAACCAAAAGTGGTTCCTAGGAAAAACTAATAGCAAAATTGCCTCTAGAAGGAAAAAATAAACAATAGAGAAAGGAAGAGGGTCATGACATGATAGAAATTTAAAATAATTGGCAAAATTTTATCAAAAATGATTCAAAAAGAAACTGGAATCCAGAATCAACTGAATTATTTTAGGTAGTTGACACCTTGCAAAACAACAAACATTAAAAAAAAGAAGAAAAAGAAAAGCCTAAAATTTAGGCCTTCAGATGCAATTTGATAATGAGTTGTGCCAGACATTCAGAGAATACCATGTTAACAATCTTAACTTCTAAAAGTAGAAAAACATGGAAGTTTCTCCCCACTTATTTTATGGGAATATTATAAACTTGCTACCAAAACTAGACATGAACGGTACAGAGGAAAATTAGAAGACATTTTCATTTGTGAACATAGATGTAAAAATCCAAAAACACATTAGGAAACCAACTTTAGTAATACATATCTAACAATATATATAAATACATACCTAACAATATATATATATAAAACAATCCTTTATGCTAGGGATAAAAAATACTATGAAATTAGAAAGTTTATACATGTAATTGATTTGGGTTAATTACATTAACTAAAGGAGAAGGGCCATTAACTTAAAAAATGTGAGAAGGGGCTGGGGATCTAGCTCAGTGGTTCCGGTGCCTGGCTCGCAAGCACAAGGGCCCAAGTTGGATCTTCAGTGCCAAACAAAAATATGAGAAGGCTTTCAATAAAATTCTATGATTTTAAAACAAAACCAAGGTTAAATATCAATAAATTATTAAAATTAATGAGGTTGTAGCGAGGTTGCCAGATAGGAGATCAACATATGGAAATTGATTGCATTCATATCCAAGTAAGAAAAAAGAAAATGTAACTTTTATTTAAATAATAAAGATGAAACTATAAGAGCTGTAAGATATTTATAAGACTTTCTGTTACAGAAACTATTGAAACTTGATAGAAAGGTATTATTAGGAGATGTTTTAATTACTTTGCTCGATGCTGAGGCAAAATACCTGACACCCAAAGTTAAAGGATGAAAGGTTAATTTGGCTCGTAGTTTGTGAAGGTTTCACTTCATAGCTAACTGGCTTCAAGGCAGATGAGCATCACAGAGCAGGCAAGCAGAAGGCAGCAAGCAACCAGCAACCAGCAATGACCACACCAACCCTCTTTCTGTCTCTTATATTTTATCCAGGCTATGCACCCTTAGGGTAGGTAGTGCTCGCACCCTTAGGGTAGGTAGTGCTCACACCCTTGATCCAGGCATCACCTCCTTGATCCCAGTGTCACATATCCTAAATCCAGCCACATCCAGAAAGTCCCACCTATGACTACATGAGGCTTTGGGGGAACATCTAGATATAAGCCATAACAAGATCTAAAATAAATATAAAGTACACCATACTGTGTATAGGAAAGCTCAGTGTCATAAAGATTTCATTTAACCTCAAATTAATTCATATAGACAGTATTATCCCAACCAAATCTCAACTAGTTTTCCATGTAACTGCATAGAATGATTGTACAAAATACATACAGGCCAGGCTTAGTGGTCACAGCTGTAATTCCAGCTACTCAGGAGGCTAAGGCAAGAGGATCATAAGTTTGAGAGCAGCAGGGCAACTTAGCAAGACCCGGTCTCAAAGTAAAAAATAAGAAGAGCTAGGAATGTAGCTCCATGCAAAGGTCCTGGATTGAATCTCTGTTACTACAAAAAATAAAAATACATATGGACCAAAGAAGAAAAAATCAAGAATCATGAAGATACTTACAAAGAACACCATTGTTAGGGGGGCTTGTTGTCCTATTCAAATTTATAAGACTTATATTAAGATAGTATGTAAATGACATAGATAAACCATGGCTGTATGGAGAGATGGTGTAGCATGGGATTAAGACTCAAGGATTAGATTCTGGAATCAGGACTCTCAAGGTCTGCATCCCAGCTCTTTCATCAATTGGCTGTGTGATCTTGGTTAAGTTATTTAGTTTTTTCTTTCTCTGAATTTGGAAGACAAGAAAGATAGTATCAACTTTATGTAGATATGAGGATTTAACTGAGTTAAAATTTGGCCAGGCCGGGGATTTAGCTCAGTGATTCTGGCGCCAGTCTCGCAAGCACAAAGTCCTGAGTTTGATCCCTAGTACAAAAAAAAAAAAAAAAAAACTTGGAGAGTGCTGGCACTAAAAGATACTATATAAAAATTTTTAGAATAAGTTTAAAAAATTGATTTGCCAGAAATGGTATTAGAGTGTAGTAGAGAAAGAATGAACAGTTCAATAAATGGTGCTGGGACAAATTTAATTCAATCTTAATTTAAATTTAAAGAATCACATGTGGCTCTTGACTTCTGCAATAGACAGTACAGATCTACATTGAAGATAATTATACGCACCCTAATATTTAACTCTAATAAGATCATAAACTCTGCTATAAACACAAAAGGATGATGGTATACTTGTGTATGTATATGCATTGCAGAGGGTGATAAAATTAAATGTTCAGAAATCACATACAATTATGGTCTTTTAAAATGTGATATGTTCTCAAGAATTGAAATTTAAAAGCTATTTTTATTACATTAATAGGTGGCATGAACAAGTTTGTATGTGCAGAATAGGGTATTTTAAAAAGAAAAATATTTTTCCAAAATTTGTCCTTTTATCTTAAATATTAGCGAAAAGGGTATATTGAAATTAGGGTATAATTGTTCTGTTTAAGCTTCAAACTGCTTTGTAGCATGATTTTGCAAAGATTTTTTTCTTAATGGCTTAGAATAATCAAAATATAATAAGCATCTACTTACCTTTTATTTACATGCCAAATATGATCACTAAAACTGATTTTTTTCTCTGAAGCTATATTAAAGTCCAGTAGTAAACGTTTTTATTATGGCTGTCATGATATAAACAACTAGATGTATGTATTTAAATTTTTCTGGTTTTGTTCTTTTCTAGGTGCATAGATGAATGGTTTGAAGTAAATAGATCTTGCCCTGAGCACCCTTCAGATTAAGCATCAGGTGCCTATTCTATAGGTAATTCTTCCTTTTTTGTTTTAACTACTTTTTAAAATATCTTAAATTACACATTTCAGCTACCAGTTTTATTCATCATTTATTCACTGAGGCACACGAGTGGGCCTGTTTGTGTTTGTGTGTGCATGTACTGGTATGTGTTTCAGATACTTTATTTAGACTACTATATAGAAAACTCACATAAAAAAATACATTAAAGGGACTGAAGGTGTTGCTCAATGAGACCCTAGGGTCCAAAAAAAAAAAGAGTTGTGCCAAACTCATCAAATTATACATGTGAAATATCTACAGATTTTCGTGACTTTCTTATCTGAATAAAGTGGTTTAAGAAGGAAAAAAAACCAAGGGGCAAGTAGCACCCAGAGTGCAAGGTCATGCCACTAACAAATGGAATTAAATTTCACACTTTTGAGGATGCCTTCCAAGGTATGTTGTAAGATAATTGTGATGGTTAATCTTGATTGTCATTTTGATTGGCTTCTGGGTGGGTCATAGAGATGTGGCAAATGGGAACTATATCTAGTCCTTGATCCCTTCCTCTGGCTTTTCCCCTGCTTTCTGCTTTGTGGATGCCATGAGTTGAGCAGCTTTCTTCCACCATGCTCTTCTGCCATGATATTTCCACCTTACAGCCAGTTACCTTAGTATTTTACATGCTAAATATATCCAAATCTTTCAGGTACAAATAATTTTTCCCCTTTAGAGTCTTAGAGCATTCATGCTGCTATTACAAAATACTTTAGTTAATTTATAATGTGGAAAAACTTAACTGCTCACAGTTCTGGAGACTGGGAAATCTAAGATGAAGGCACCCACAGATTCGATGTCTGGCGAGGCCTTGTTCCTCATTTGCAGCACCTTCTGGATGTTCTGAGATGGCAGAATAATCAGCGGCCTCCCTCAAGCTTCTATAAGGACATTGATCCCATTCTTGAAGGCATACCCTTCATCACTAATCACTTCCCAAAGTGCTCACTTTGGCAGCACATATACTAAAATTGGAATGATACCTCCCAAAGGCCCCACTTCTTACTATTTTGCTATTGCACTAGAGATTAGTTTTTAACATAGGAATTTGGGGGGGAGACACATTCAGACCACAGTACAGTAAATAACATTTTTTTTCTGTGAAGTGGAATTTTATGATATAAAACATTTTCTTTCATGGTTTCATCCTTGAAATTTTTTCTTTAGTGTCACCATAAGCTTATGGGCATATGTAGAACATACATCTCATGTCATAAAATACATGTCAGCTGAGCATGGTGGCACATGTCTGTAACCCCAGCTACTTGGGAGGCTGAGGCAATAGGACTATAAGTTATCTCAAAATAGAATTTTTAAAAAGGGCTAGGGATGCAACTCAGTGGTAAGGCACCCTGATTTAATCCCAGATACCAGGGTAGGGGAGTGTATATCTGTTAGTCTTAAACAACATTTGTTTCCTTATATATCTTTTTTGGTATAGAGAACCTGAGTTTTGAACCTAAAGGTTCAACCTATGAGGTTGAGCTATCAAGTCAGCTCTGTATTGAAATCTGAACCAATGGTGTCTGTCTGTACAGACCTTGAAGAGTCATTCTTAAGAGTTTTGGGGCCGGGGATTTGGCTCAGTGGTTTCGCCGCCTGCTGCGCAAGTGCAAGGACCCAAGTTCGATCCCTGGTACCAAAAAAAAAAAA